CTTTAAATTACAGACCTGTAAGTCTTCAAAACCAGTTTAGTAAAATAATAGATGCATTGTATTACAATCGTTTACAGCACTTTTTAGAATAAACAAACTAATTTTTGAATTTCAAAATGGCTTTAGAAAAAATAAGTCCACTAACACAATCGAAAGTGCTTTGAATTTTATTTTAAAAAGTTTAAATGAAAAACAGCATGTTGTTGGACTGTTTTATGACCTTAGTCGAGCATTTAATACTATAAATCACAAATTATTATTAAATAAACTTGAAAGTATAGGAGTTAAAGGAGTTACAAATAAATTGATATACCCTGCTGAAAATGACGAATGATTGCGGATATAAATTCTTCGTCAAAACCGGATAAAAGAAGATGATTGCGGGTATAAATTCTTCGTCGAAGCCGGATAAAAGCAGATAAAAGCGGGTAAAAATATTATCTGATAACATCTGCTTTTGTCCGCATCGCTATATCCGCGAACACCCGGTTGGTTGTGTTTTATGTCCGGTTAGTACACCCTCGCAATCATCTGAAATCATCATCAATCACCCGCGAACAACTGCCTTTATCCGCGAACATTTGCAATCACCCGCGAACATCTGCTTTTACCCAAAACCGTCTGCTTTCATACGGTTTCACCCGCAAACATGCTTTTATCTTCGAACGCCTGATATCATCCGGTTAGTGCAACCCCGCATTCACCCGCAAACATCTGCTTTTATCCGCGAACATCTGCAATCATCCGCCAAAATCTGCTTTTATCCGCGAACATCTGCTTTCATCCGCGAACATCTGCAGTCACCCGCGAACAACTGCTTTTATCCGCGAACATCTGCAATCACCCGAGAACATCCGCTTTCATCCGCAAACGTCTGGTTTTATCCGCAAACATCTGCTTTCATACAGTTTAAACCGCAAACATGCTTTTATCTGCGAACGCCTGATTTCATCCGGTTAGTGCACCCCCGCAAACATCTGCTTTTATCCGCGAACATCTGCAACCACCCGCGAACATCTGCTTTCATCCGCGAACATCTCATTTTATCCGCGAACATCTGCAATCATCCGCGAACATCTGATTTTATCCGCAAACATCTCATTTTATCCGCGAACAACTGCTTTTATCCGCGAACATCTGCAATCACCCGAGAACATCCGCTTTCATCCGCAAACGTCTGGTTTTATCCGCAAACATCTGCTTTCATACAGTTTAAACCGCAAACATGCTTTTATCTGCGAACGCCTGATTTCATCCGGTTAGTGCACCCCCGCAAACATCTGCTTTCATCCGTGAACATCTGCAGTCACCCGAGAACAACTGCTTTTATCCGCGAACATCTGCAATCTCCCGCGAACATCTGCAATCTCCCGCGAACATCTGCAATCACCAGCAAACATCTACTTTTATCCGCAAACAGCTGCTTTCATCCGCGAAAATCTGCTTTTATCCGCGAACATCTCATTTTATCCGCGAACATCTGCAATCATCCGCGAACATCTGCTTTCATCCCCAAACATTTGCTTTTATCCGCAAACATCTCATTTTATCCGCGAACATCTGCTTTTATCCGCAAACATCTGTTTTAATCTCCAAACATCTGCTTTTATCCGCAAACATCTGCTTTTATCCTCAAACATCTGATTTTATCCGCAAACATCTGATTTTATACGCAAACATCTGCTTTTATACGCAAACATCTGCTTTTATCCTCAAACATCTGATTTTATCCGCAAACATCTGTTTTTAATCGCAAACATCAGATTTTATCCGCAAACATCTGCATTTATCCGCAAATATCTGCTTTTATCTGCGAACATCTCCAAACATCTGCTTTGTCAAATTTTACTGAGCTTTAACTAACTGGTTGTTCACGGCACACAACTTTATAAAAGGAATTATTTGAATAAAAACAACCTGTAAAGGAAATAAGTTTATTCAACACGACATTTTCCCAATGGGAAAATAATTTAATTATATTCACCAGATTTATGTCTTTTAACAAAGACCTTATTTGTATTTTACCAAATATTATTGAAGTTCAATAAACTTATTTCCTTTACAGGTTGTTTTTATTCAAATAATTCATTAGAGTTATAAAGTTGTGTGCGGTGAACGGCTAACAACCAGTTAGTTAAAGCTCAGTAAAATTTGACAAAGCAGGTAAACTAAAGTAACTATACAGGAGAGGAAAACAAAAAGCGCGAATGAAACCAGACGTTTGCGTACGAAACAGGACCGAAATGGACAAAGGAAATGCAGGCAAACCGAACGCGGATGAAAGCAGAGGTTTGCAGTTAAAAGCAGATGTTTGCAAATGTTCGCGGATAAAAGCAGATATTTGCGGATAAATGCAGATGTTTGCGGATAAAATCAGATGTTCCCGGATAAAAGCAGATGTTTGCGGATAAAAGCAGATGTTTGCGTATAAAATCAGATGTTTGCGTATAAAATCAGATGTTCGCGGATAAAAGAAGATGTTTACGGATAAATGCAGATGTTTGCGGATAACATCAAATGTTTGCGGATAAAAGCAGATGTTTGCGGATAAAAGCGGATGTTTGCGGATAAAATCAGCAGTTCGCGGATAAAAGCAGATGTTTACGGATAAAAGCAGATATTTGCAGATTAAAATGGATGTTTGCGGATAAAAGCAGATTTTTGCGTATAAAATCAGATGTTTGCGGATTAAAACAGATGTTTGTGGATAAAATCAGATGTTTGCGGATAAAAGCAGATGTTTGCGGATAAAATTAGATGTTTGCGTATAAAATCAGATGTTTGCGTATAAAATCAGATGTTTGCGGATAAAAGCAGATGTTTGCGGATAAAAGCAGATGTTTTCGAAAAAATCAGATGTTTGCGGATAAAATCAGATGTTTGCGGATAAAAGCAGATATTTGCAGATTAAAATAGATGTTTGCGGATAAAAGCAGATGTTTGGAGATTAAAACAGATGTTTGCGGATAAAAGCAGATGTTTGCGGATAAAAGCAGATGTTTGCAGGTAAAATCTTATGATTCAGAATTTTGGGAACTAAATGAGATGTTTGCGGATTAAAACAGATGTTTGTGGATTAAAATAGATGTTCGCGGATGAAAGTAGATCTTCACGTATAAAAGCAGATGTTTGCAGGTGAAATCGGATAAAGCAGACGTTTGCGGATTAAAGTAGATGTTTGCGGATAAAATCATGATTTTGCAGATAAAACCGGGTGAATGCAGATATAAGCTTGAATACAGGTAGGTATTTGCGGATGAAATCAGATAAAAGCAGACATAGATCTAAATACCCGGACAACAATCGTGATATTCATACGAACATCATGTCGTGATTTTCACAAATTTTATTCATACTGATATCATACGGAAGTCACCTCGTGATAAATGAAAATCATACGAACGTCACGTCGTGATTTTCACAAATTTTATTCATACGGACATCATCCGGATGTCACTGCGTGAGAAATGAAAATCATGTCGTGATTTTTTATGCCATCGCTGTTTGCGATTGACCGATGGCACAAAAAATCATGTCGCGATTTTTTATGCCAACGGTGTTTGGATAATCATTTTTGCGCTTCGTTCGTACACTAAGAGAAAAATTGTGTTGAATCAACAGTTTTTGCGGTTAAATATATTTAATATTTTCTTGGATTTAAATCCAAGAAAATTAATAAATGTATTTAACCACAAAAACTGTTGATTCAATATATATGTAGGTATACTTGTTCTCTCAATGTACGAATGTGGTGCAAAAATAAATATCCAAACACCGATGGCATAAAAAATCACGACATGATTTTTTATGCTATCGGTGTTTGATCATAAAAAATCACGACATGATTTTTTATTCCTTCGGTCCACCGACATGTTTGAATATTCATTTTTGCCACACATTCGTACATTGAAAGAAAAAGTATGTTAACAATTGAATCAACAGTTTAACATTCAATATTTTCTTGGATTTAAATTAATTATATATAGTTAATTTAAATCCAAGAAAATATTAACTGTATTTAACCGCAAAAACTGTTGATTCAACATAATTTTTCTCTTACTGTACGAACGTGGCGCAAAAATGATTATCCAAACACCGTTAGCATAAAAAATCACGACATGATTTTTTGTGCCATCGGTCAATCGCAAACAGCGATGGCATAAAAATCACGACATGATTTTCATTTCTGACGCAGTGACATCCGGATGATGTCCGTATGAATAAAATTTGTGAAAATCACGACGTGACGTTCGTATGATTTTCATTTATTATGCGGTGAATTCCGTATGATATCAGTATGAATAAAATTTGTGAAAATCACGACGTGATGTTCGTATGAATATCACGAATGTTGTCCGGGTAGGTTTTAAATTCGCAGTTCGCAGGGCTCATACGCATGCCCAAATTTTGCAAATATCACACCGTGAGTTCTACATGATATCACTGTGATGAAGCATGTGTATGCACTCAGGATATCACGGCGTGATATCATCATGACTTCACCAGGAAATCCCGATTGTTGTCCGGGTAGATAAAACCCGACGTTTGCGGATAATATTTATACCCGCAATTGCAGATAAAAACCGACATGCCGGGTAAAATCAGATATGTCGGATAAAAACAGATATAAATGGACATAAAACCAGCTTGGTTTTTTATCAGCAATCATCCGATATTACCCGTCTTTTTCAGCAGGGTAAAAAAGAGTAAAAAAATTCAATAATTGCAAATAATGACAAAAACACTTAAATATTAACTTTAACTTTAACAATAAATGTGGTCCTGTGGTCCATTAGGATAGTCTTTAATATAAGTACACAAAAATTATTTTACATTTTAAAAAACTAAAAAAACCTACTTGTTAAATTACCTTTTTAGTAGATAAACAAAGTAATATTGAAGAAAATATTGAATTTTATTTTAAATACTAAGTATAATAAATAAATAAATAAAAAAAAATAAGATTGGATCAAGAAAATAAATGTAAAATTTAAAGCCATTTAAATTTGATCTAAATATATTTTTTAATAATAAATATACAATAAAGATATAATTTATATGTGGTATAAAATAAAATGCATTGGAATGAATATTTTCAAATAAAAAATAAATTATGTGGTTGAAAATAGATATAACAAGTTTTTAGCAAACTGAAAAATTTCTGAACCACCTAACTTTGATTCACCATATACCCTATCAACAAAAGTAATGGGAACCTCTCCAACAGTATAATTAAATTGCCTTGCCCTAATTATCATTTCCATTTGAAATACATAACCTTTAGATACACAATTATTAATAATTTTTTCCAAAATATCTTTTCTATACAATCTAAATGATCCTGTTAAGTCTGATGCACCTGGACGGAGTAACAACTGTGTAAGAAAATTAGCACCTCTAGAAATCAGCTTTCTTTTAAAATCCCAACCATAAACTCCACCTGTTCCTACATAACGAGTACCAGACACAATATCAAAATTATGTTTTATTTGTTTTTCAATCATTTGGGGCATAAACTTTGGCTAAAATAAACATAATATTAACTTGAAATTTAGTTTTTATTTAACTATTAATTTCTTACATGGTGACTTAGATCTGCATCCATAATAAAAATTAAGTTGCCTGTAGAAAACTTAATTCCATGGATGTAAGCTGTTCCCAACCCCAATTTTTTTTCTCTTGGTTTGAGAACTATTTTATCTTCTCCATAAATTTTCTGTAACTGTTTACCGGCCTCTAAGGTACCATCAGGACTCCCATCATCAATAATAATTATTTCATAAGGGTACCCACTATAAATTATTCAAATAAATATTAACCATAATATACATTAAATTAACATACCTTTCGTTCATATATTTCACAATAAGCCATACTATAATTGGTAAATTTTGCACCTCATTATAAGTCGGCAATAAAATTGAATATTTATTTTCTATTTTATTTTCACCTGCCATGTCAGTAATCAACGTCAAATTTTCTTTTAGGTTAGGAAACAGGCTTACCAATACGCCTATAAAAAGTGAAATTTTAATAAGCAGGGGCAATTTTTGCATTTATGGATTCAAACAATGCATGTACCGACTGATAACACATTACTTTAAAAGTATAATTGATATAAAGTAATACTAATTATGCGGAGTTTTAGATTAGAAACTTTCTAATAGAAAGGTTTACAGGCAACCCGTACTATATTTGTGTATTAATGGTTGTATAATTGAAATGTCAAAAATTTGAGTCAAATTATTTGACGTTTGTTTATTGTTGGGTTTTCCATGGCACTTATTTAGAAAATCATAGAATAACCTCTGCGTAGGTAACTAAATATGTGGATCTAGTATAGTTAATTTTATTTTATAAAAATGGGTAAAACTTCCAAAGTTGTTGTGTGTGGAATGAAAGGTGTTGGAAAAACAACAATATTAGAACAGGTTATCTATGGACATATAACTGACCAAAGGGTAGTAAATAAACAAATTAAAAGGCTATGTGTGACCTGTTTTGCGTTATTTTAAGGAATACACTCCTACAATAGAAGATATTTACGTAGCAAATATAGAATCTGATAAAGGAACCAAAGAAAAAGTAAGGTTTTATGATACAGCTGGCATAGGTCATTCCCAAATAAGTACTGCTAATGGTACCACCAACCAACAGTTACCTCGTCATTATTTAGTACTAGCTGATGCATACATTTTAATTTACGACACAGAAAAAAACGATTCATTAGATGTCCTTGTCTCTCTTAAAAAGGATATAGACAAAAATAAGGACAAAAAAGAGGTGGGTACATAAAAACCCTAATTTTTTCAGTTTTATTATTTCATTAATTATTTAGGTGACTATTATTGTGATAGCTAACAAAACCAAAGAAAATGATAATAAAGAATTTGATTCAACCATAAGTAAGGCAACATCCTGGTGCAATAGAGAAAAAATAAGGCATTTTACAGGATCAGCACTTCAAAGGTTTAGTTTGTATGAACCATTTGTTTATATGGCAAGTAAACTAAATCCACCACCTAGTAAAAGTACTTTTACTCCACTTTCTATGGGAAGAAAAGTGCTTAAAGATTCAGGGTAATAAATAGCAAATAGAGTTCTTGTATATATTTCTTGACATCAAGTACTCTAGCATAGCCCAGCATTTTTAAATTTGGGTCCCTTAAACTGTATATCAAGTAGGGCTGTACAATTTAGCTGGTTAAGCTGGCTAAAAAAGTTAACTAAGTTAATTAGCTAGCTAACTGATCAGCTTAGCTAATTTAACCGGTTAACTAAATTAGCTTAGCTATTTATCTGGCGGCTTAGCTGGTTAATCTAGCTTAGCTCAGCTAATTAGCCGGTTAGCTGATTAGCCGTTAGCTAATTAGCTGAGCTAAGCTAGATTAACCGGTTAAGCTAATCAGTTAGGTAGCTAATTAACTTAGCTAACTTTTTTAGCCGGCTTAACCGGCTAAACTGTACAGCCCTAATAGCAAGTAATATTCATATATTATGCTAATAGGAAATTCTGAAATATCAACATACAATAATACAGTGATGGCCACTTAATTGTGGACCAAACATGCAAAATCCGATAAATCCATTTTAACTTATTCTGAGATATTGGCCAAAAATGTGTACAGCAGAGTTATACTACTTTATACTGTCAAAAGACTTGCTGTGCATGTTTGCTCCACAATTATTAATTTTCTGGCTCAAAATATACTACACCTAGAAAGCAACCATTTTTTATGTTTAGTTTAGTTTAAAAACTTTACTATTTAAAATGTTTTACAACAAACGAATTGTTTAAATATCTGTTCCCTGTGCAGCATCGCGACGCGTCGCACACTGGGAGGAATTGCATAAATCGCGGAAAAAACCTTATTTAGTTTTTTTTATTATTATTATTATTATTTTTTTTAATGTGCTTTCAACAGGCACCAGGCCCAATTACAGAAGTACACAATGACAAACACAAACAAACAACCATACCCCTGGTGGGATTCGAACCCACGACCTCTCGGCTTGTAGTCCGCAAATCAAATCAAATCAAAAATATTTATTCATGTTCTTGTATAATATAATAAATTGTAAAAATAATTTTAGGTATATAAGGTGTATAAATAAAATGAACAAAACAAATGTGCCTGGCACGTAATGCTCATCATAAAGGAGGTTACTATATGAACGTTGTAACGCAATATAGCAACCCCCTTGGCCGATGTTTTGGCCTACCCGAAACTATAAAACAATTTGCGCAGCTCGCCATTCCCTTCGCTCAACCGATGCAGGGGCAATATTGTTCAGATGTTTTTTGTGTATAAATTAGGGACTGTAGTCCGCAGTGCTAACTACTACACCACCGAGGGCAGTTAAAATCAACATAGTAAATTTTAAATTGCAAGTTGTAAAAAAAGAAAGACCAGAGATTATGATTTTAAACAAATATTTTTTTATGTAAAATGCCCGCTTAAACTTGCTTAAATCTTTGGGGCGCAGATAATTAAAAGAAAAAAAAACCCTAGTGGAGCAACAAAATTTTTATTCATACATTTTTTTTTTCAAAATTGCACTGCTTGTTTTTGACTTATGAGGTGGTACAAATAAGGTACCACCAAGCCACCTAGGTACAAACGTTTTGCTATCTCTTTGGTGAATTGTCTTTTGCAATATCATCTTGTATTCTTATAATATTCTGATAAAAAAATTATTTGGCATGATAGTTTTGGAAGCAGGATTTGGCTTTACCTAGGCGCAAGGGAACCTGACAAACTAAAAAAATCCAGTTGGTGCGAACCTGTTTAGCTTTAGAACTACATAATGCACATCTTCTTCTTGTGCTTCGCTCCGGTTGATGTTTCGAAGACTGATGTCGCACTTCAGCGGGAATATAGGCCCAGATAACAAAATGATGTCACTGTGAAATCACAATGAGCGCATTTTCGATCACGCGTGAGACTCATGTGTATAACATATGCGTCCTCACATGTAGATCACAGTGAATTCACGCGTGGGAAATAAATATCACAAAGCAGTCATAGTGATATCATGCGTGATATTTTAAGATAATTTTTAGGTTCTTATTTATACAAAAAAAAATAAAAATCAAGTAATTTTTTTATTTATATCACAAATTGACAGTTATTTTTCATCGAGAAAAGGTTTATTCCATGACTTATATTTCTTATTTGATTCTTCAATTTCAGATTCAGAAACTTCCAACCTATCTGATCTTGACATCAAAGTCACATGACATTGCTTCAGAATCAGAATGTGCAGAATCTGACTTTGATAACGGAGTTGAATGCTCTTTTTTCTTATTAGATGTTGATTTTGAACAAGAATTCGTTTTTTTCATGCGATTCCGTTTTTTTGGGTTTATCTCATTCTTGTTTAAACTATTCTTAAATCTTTGTTTTGTAGCTCTAAACACTTCTAAAAGTTCGGTTTTGAATTTTTCTTTTGTTAAGGGACCAGGGTAAGAAGTATCTTCTACCGCAATATCTGCAAGACAAACAACATGGTATAATGAACAATATTTGACTATATAGAATATTTGCTGTGATTGTCGATTCAAAAGATAAATTGTTGGAATTTCCTTTCCAAGTGAAAGAAAATACGAGCTCATCGGTCATTATTTCTTTTAGGGCTGCGCCCAAAAATTCTCTTAGTTTTCCTGCACCCAAAGTTTTTAAATGGTCAAACTGAAAAGAAAACAGATAAAATACATTTAAATTAGAAGATATAAGGACTGTTGACTGTACCATTTTTTCGCGGGTTTTTACAGAATTGGGGCTTTCAAACTCCTTAAATTCCTCTTTTGTATTCAAAGGAAATCCTTCCAAAGGCTTGTAAAGGGCAGAATTTACGATTGATTGCCTCAAAGGATTTGTGGACGTTACCTTTTGTTATTTATCAATTTTATTTATAAGGAGAACTGCAAAAAGCGGTAGATTTGCCGCTATAACGGGAGACCTGGCAAAGTGTCGATCATTGACAAGACTGTTTTGCGGACTTTGCGCTGATACAATTATGCGCGTGCGCCCCATGCGCACGTGAGTTTTGGTTTCAATGTTTTTAAAGTTATTTCATGTCACGCATGAGGAAAATATGTAATCACCGTGTGACATTTATTCTTAATATTTTTAAAGTTATTTTCATGTCGACATTAATCAATGCAATGCCTAACAATAGTTAGGCAATGTATTGACATGAAAATAACTTTATATAGGTATAGAATAAATGGCACACGTGATATCACGGTGATCGCATATTTTCCTCATGCGTGAATATATAGAATAAATATCACACGTGATATCACGGTGAACGCATATTTTTCTCATGCGTGAAAATCATGTTGTGACTAAAACGTGAAAATCATGTTTGTTATCTGGGGGGCTTTGATTTTAATTTGTACTGGAATCATCAAAATTATTTATGACTTCACGTCGGAAGTCTTTGGTGGTAATTGTAGCAGTTAGTTCATTAGTCTTATAGTACCATTCTTCTCCTTACGTTGTACTTTACTAACGATTTCAGGGTAATGATAATTAGAAAGAATATGTGCGGACCTATTCTGCCCTACTATGGAGAAAAGCAGTAACTACAAAAAAATGCAAAATGCGTTTTCTTGTGCTATAGACATTTTGTATCCGAATTCAACACAGAAATGCAGTCAAATATCTCATAAGTTAAAAAAATCAATTAAATACCTACTGCTTTTTATAAAAATGTAGTTTAGGCTAATTTCTCACGAATTTCTTGTTTAGCAGTTACTGCCTTTCTTCATAGTAGGGCAGTATTATCCTTCCACTTTATTACTGCTAATCTAGTGTTGCTTGTAAACTATTGCAGATCCCCGCGCTTCATTGTTTTATCTTCTTTGAATGTAGGAAGATATTTACGTGATAAATTCAATGCACCAACAACATGAATCCTATGTTTTTTCAGCTCTTCCATCAAAGGCACATTGTTAAAAAAGTTATCAAAATAGATAATATGACGCAAATCAGCTGTAAGGTGAGTGATGACGCGGATACCAAGCGCTTTTTCCGGACTCAGTTTTGCCGGTATAGATGTCGAATTTCAAACAATATCGAGATTTATCAGCTAGAATCCAAACTTTGTAGCCCCTTTTTACTGTTTTTTTGGCATATATTGCTTCAAAGAACTTCGTCCTTTGAACTCTATCATGGATTCATCTACAGCAATTCGCTGGCTCGGAAGTAAGCATCTCTGAAAATTTTCTAGCAACAAATCTATCATTGGGAGTACTTTATAAAGTTTTTCATAATTGGGAGATTTGCGGTCAGGCGTAGTAGAGTTATCGTTCATGTGGACATGGGATAGCAACTAGCTAAAACGCTTTACGCTCATTAGAGAAGAAATGTAATTGTCTTTGAGATCTGGCACGCTTGACCAGTAATCTTTATAGTTGGGGGAGTGTTTTAGACCCATAAGCAAATTTATCCCCAAAAATGTATTTAGCTCTGAAGTATTAGTGGTGGGCGTTTTTCCTGTAGCAATTCTTTTTTGCTCTGCCTCAGATTAGTATGAAATACTAAATGATCCATAAATTCTTCGGTTATAAAAACCGGAAGAGTTGGTATGGTGTTATATTATCTTTATTATCTTGTATAAAATCGGCAACACCAGAAGGACTTCCATTAGCATTGAAAATTCTCTCCCTTACCGTAGATATAGGTAACTCAGATTCAGATACATCACTTTCTGAACGGCAATCATCGTCAATCACAGCGGGGACATTATCTGCCAAGCCTTCGTCATATTAGTCGGTAAAGGTTCCACGTCTTCATCCTCAACAGTATCAGGTCCATCAACCTCGTATAATTCTTCTAAAGTCATTCCAACTAAATTGAAAGGTGATTTTTCCTTTCTGAGCCTCGACATTCTACTAGAAAAAATACCATCATAAAAGTTTCAACCGACGCGGTGGTACTCGTGGTACCACAACAATAAATTGGTTTACGTTTACTTACAACAAAAATTTCTTATTTTTAATGTTAATGAAACTTACCCAAAACACTAACTATCCAAATATTCTTAATTTATGCAAAATACTGTTATTTTTTTTTAATTAGACCACATAAAAAGGCACTTCAGTTTTACGCACAAAGTTTTGAGGTTAGTGGATACAAAACGCGACTAAATCTGTAACCGATTGTTTAAAGTTACGCCAACGGTATACAGGATGACATCACTGCAGTGGTTGTAAAAATGAACCATTGCAATCCGAGCTACAGCTGCTTTAAAGGATGGTACACTTTATATACCACCGCCGCTAAACGATAACAAAATAGGTGGTGTATTTTATGAACCATGGCCGCCCAAAGAGTTAAAAAGTAACATTGTTCGTGCCAGTTTTTTAGAGCAAATTGGATGTAAGTTTTTCAAGCCAATTTTTGTTTTGCGTAATTAATGAAAGGAAATGATGGTATATTTTACCACATTCCTTATTGTTCTTTCATATTTCAAAGTCTAAAATTATAAATTTTACCAAAAATAAGGTAAGATAAATATTTTACAAACCAGAAGATATTCCTTTAGGACTGTGTTGGTGTGAGGCAAAGTATTTGGTACCAGAACGTTTCTCAAATTTTCTTTTTTAAAAGGGAAAAGAATTTAGCTGCCTCTTTTTGCCTGTTTGGTCAGCAGGATATGGAATATGTCCAAGGATTTATCATATTAGTTGATTCTTTATAAGTCATCATAGTTGCCTTTCGATAGTTCTAAAACGTCAGTTTCGAGAGAGTCAGTCTTAACATACAATCGCATCGTGTTTTTGTAAATTATTAACGCTTTGTAAAACTTTAAAGTACACATATTCTTAGTGCAAAAATAAAATGAAACAAAAAAAAGTTACCTTAATTAGCAGAAGTTATTTTACAATGTAAAAACGTATTTATCATTAAATCCTCCGACTAGCTTAGGAAAAAAACGGTTTTGCTCTAAAATCAACTTTTAAATGTAATTTTAACATCGATATATAGGTTTTTTTTTTGGGCCAAGTCGAAAGAAAAAAGGTAAAGATGCGAAAAAAGTAAACAACAATAATACCGTTGAGTGAAGAACCCAACCCTATTCATCACAACGAAACCTTAACACTACTTGTTTTTGAAACCATATTTTTTATTAGTATGAAGTTTAAGGTGTTCCTCAGTTACTTTAAAGTTTGAAATTGCATCATCACCTGAGAGTTGCATGCTATTTTTTATAACACATACCGAATTTTAGGAAGATTCTCCAATTCGATTCCTTTTTTTCGTCTTCGTATCCGTAACAATAGAAAATATTCGTTCCGCCTCAGCATTGGAATGAGGTAAAATAAGCGCCAACTTTGCAATTTTTCCTAAATTAGGAAATACTAATACCTCATCAAATCTTTTTTTTGTTGATATTTCCATCCACATTTCATCTATTGGAAGAGCAATTAGTCTTTTCTTATCAGATTCAGAAAAACACATGCTTAAGTTCCGCCATTCAATTGATACCTCAGTTTCATCAAAGTCACTAATATCTCTAAATTTTGCACACAGAATTTTGAAATTAATATTTCTTCTGGTTTCACTCTTATGAAAGGCTAGAATTTTAAACAGTTTTTAAAAAAAATATTTTTGCCACTCTCAGGCATTTGTTGTAACAGTGTCTCACATTCTGGGCCAAAATAGATATCTTCTAAATTAAGATAGTTCCTCGGACAGTCCAGCTGAATAATTCGTAGGTCCTGCTCCTGTACAATAAGTTCGTCTAAAAAGTTCTTGCATAGCTGCTTCATGAGGTTAATACATTCTTCATAGAGAATGTGAATTAATGGTCCACGGCTTTGAAAAAGTGCATTAAAAGTGTTAAACGTTCTCAGAACATACTTAAGAAAACATAAATATGCTTTTGTGTATATATTCTTTAATTCTGCATGAATTAATTCGGCACTTTTTAGTTTGTCCTCCTGTACAGCAATAATAAAATAGTGTTCCAAAACATTCCAGGTTTCTAGCACGCGTACAACACTTTCATATCTATCTGCAACCATCTGGTAGCAGACAACTTAACTTCATTTTCGTTAAAATATCTTTGTATTTCTTGCAATTTCGCACATCTTTTTGCGCTACCAGATACGTAGTTATATATGTTTCTTAGCAGATCTTCTGGTGAACGAGGAAGTTCACTACATGCTCTTGAAGCTACTAGCGCTGCGGAATGACAAATACAGCGCATCAAAATAACATGGTTAATATTGTCCTGGAGGAGTTTAAAAAATGAATTGTTTTTGCCAATCATTACACTGGCCCCATCAGAAGCTACAACCACTATATTTGTTAATGGAATGTTATGTTTTCCTAAACATGAAACAAATGCTTGATATATTTCCTTAGCTCCTAACTTTCTGGCGTCCAAATCTAATAATTGCAGCAGACGTGTTTCGATGGTATAATTTTCTGAATTAAAATATCGGGTGAGAATCACAAGACTTTTGTGGTCTCCGATATCTGTAGATTTGTCTAGTAAAACAGAAAATTTTTCATTTTTGAGCAATGAAACCAAGTCATTGGTTTCCTTTTTGCAAAGCACATTATTTAATATTTCAGTGCATTTAGTTCTTTTTAATTTCATGCCTGCACAAATTTTGCTGTCTGGAAATATGTTTTTCACTAAAGGTTCTAATTGGTCGATTGGTCGAAATTTCACATTATTCGCCGCAAAGAATGCCGATAACTTAATTTCTGCCTTTTTAACAGACTTTTCGTGTGTATTGTCAGGGTTTGTGTTAAACATTGTGGCAATATTTTGATTGTTCTGAATCATCGTCATGTTATTTTTATGTTTATTCGTATTGGCGTGTTTTTGTAGTTCACTCTTCCCAGCTTTGACAGACGCATTACATACTTTGCAGCTAAAATACACATGTTTTGAATGTAAAATAAACGGTACAATAGGTACTTACATTGCCTTGTTTTTCGAGTTTTTGTCAGGCAAAAGCCATGCACGAAACTGCGGTCATTTAACCAGTAGGTTTTAAAGTTCTTATCGCTGCTAATCTTCTGTCTCTTGTTTTTAGCTGCTAGGAGTTGACTGTCATTATCCGAATCTCCATCGGTATCGCTTTCGGTATTCATTTTATTCACAAAACAGAACAGATTTTATTTGAAAGTGCAAAACAAAACTGCACACTTACACGTGTTGCGCAAAGCGGTGCGTTCTACATGGAGCATACAGAAGTGCGCAGCGCATGCGCCTAGCTTACCTTTTTCGCATATTATAATGTTTTTTTTATTTTTTGGTTGTAGTCAATCAGGATAGTTTAATTTATATTTAATAATTTTTGATATTTTGTGACCAAATTTAGGAAAATTCCCTTTTTTATTTAAAGATTCCCTTTGTCCCTTTTGGCAACGAAAATTCCCTAAAATGGGAAAATTCCCTCGAGGTGGCAACACTGGTCCCAAGATTCCGTCTAGTCTTTAAAGTTCTCACGACCGCGGCCGACCTGACACGACGCAATTACGACATACGGTGGAGGCTAGCCGCAGTTTACGACGGAATGATCGAGAGCGGTCACCCTCTAAGCGCTTATTTTAAATTCGCCGTGTTGAAATAATAATAGGTGGCTTATAAAAAAATAAAATAAATCCATAGATAAGGCATTAAAGAGCCTAAAAGCTTTAATCAAAAACTTCCTATTCAATGATAAAACTGACTTAGTGTATTTATGAGTATTCATGTCTTGATTTATTGGTTCTCGTTATAATTACCTAGCTTTGAAAATAACAGCTTTTAGAGACATCTGTACCAGTATCATTAGAACACTATGATGAAGCTTTTGTTAATTTACATTTTTGGTGTTTTGTTTTGATTGAGTATGAGTATGGGAACGTATGGCAGGCCCCAAAGACATTAACCGCCACTAATCTCCAGGGTTATTTACCCCCTTTCCGTTCTCCTGCGTATCCCGCCACATCACAGCTTTACCTGTGTTTGTTGGATCCGAAGTTTTTACGCCGGCTGGTAGATCCACCCTAGGAGGTCGTGGAAGACAGTGTCTATGGTTAAGGCCGCTCCACGGATTTTTGTCAGCCGGGTCGGGCCATACGTCCAGTTTGGGAAGGGTTTTTGGAGGACATTGAACTGACCCAAAACTAAGTACAATCCAGAATCCTCCTCAACCTGGGACTTAGTAATAACCCCATTCAATTGGTATTCATGAATGGAGGTAGAAGTGTTAGTACGCTGCTAGAACCTGTCCTTGTTGGTGTATTTCTGAACATCTCTGTCCGAGTCAGTATCAGGTTCCTGGTTACCTCTTTCGAATTGTTTGCCCCCCTGTGTGATACTGAGTCTTGTCTTCCGTACCGAAGTCCCAGGTAGCACACTGACGTCTGCCGACGTTTAAATGACGTCTTCTGACGTCATTTCACCGTCATTTAAACGCCAGCAGACGTCAGTGCGCCACCTGGGGTGTTGACGGCCATGACACACCGTAAGTGCCCTCTGCCTTGGTGGATATTCCTCCTGCCGAGTGCCGGCTACCAATCTTGTATATTCTTTATTTATTTTATTGCTAAATTAGTGTTTATACCGTTTTTATTTAATTTATATCTTTGCATTCTTACTTTTTTTTCCAAATTTAATTTAAAAATTTAAATATTAATATACAAAATAGATAAAGCCGGCCCTGTAGTGTATGTAATTGGAGTGCATTGGCTATTAATAGAGTCGTTCTTCTTATCTTCTGTGCTCTTCTTGTATTGAGCTTGTATTTATTTGGCTTTGATTTATGGGTATAATCTTAAATGCATATACAATATTACTTATTACACACAACACTTATTTATGATCTAAATTTTTTGTCGTCTTGCTTGATTTGGTTTATTTACTCTTACGCCTTTTTCAATTTAGTTGAGTTGTTTATGGTTTGTATACTCTGAGCAAATGAGGTTATTATTAACACATACGGAAATGTTGTCTTATTTTTTAAAATTTAGTTTTTGTGCTTATATTAGAGATTTTTCATAATTTACCGTTTTATGAAATCTTGTACATTTTTGGAGTAGTAAAATTATATTCAAAACCGTACGAGTTTACTTTAAAGACTGTCGTATTGAATGTACCAAAAACTGTTCATTTAATTTAAACTTGAAATAGTTTACTTTTCTCTGTGTAGGGACCTGTTGGATTTCTGAAGCCAGATGACATTTGGCAACATTGCGAAATTCCGTATATAAACATTTAACGAAAATTACTTAGCTTGATTATTAGGCTATAATCCTGATGCTTTGTCTTTCAGGGGCTGTCCGTTGTTACTTGACCTCGCCCGAAGGTTTTTGGCACACTTTGATTGTGGAAAATCTCTGATCCATGTGAACCGGTTGGCTTATCGTTGTGGCCTAGCCTTAATTACTTATTCACTTGCACACTTTTACAGCGTTAACCGGGGTCCTACCGCACTTTTCGCACTTGTTGCACTTTTCGCACTTTTCGCACTTGTTTGTTTATTTATTTATTTATTTATTTGTTAACGATTACTGATATTTCCGGATACTTAGTTTCGTTTTTGGAACTTTACTACGATTGTATCGTATACGCTGCGGGATGCGTCTTCCCACTTCAAATGTCAAGACCCAACTTTGGTGTTTTGTTTTGATTAAACATAAATAAATTAATATGTTATTTTTTAGGTATTACTTGTATTTGTAAGTCATATATGTAATATATTAATATATTAATTATATTAATATATTAACTGCCTTTTCTTTTCGCCACAAACATTTCAGACTAGTATGAGGAACGCGTCTTAAAAAAAAATAACAAATTACAAAACTTGCACTTTATTAGCCTCCTTACTTTAATTGACCACAAGCTGCCACTGAAAATGCACCATATTATTGTATTATTTTTTAATTAAATAATTATAATATTATGTATGTATAATAATAATAATATTATAATATTTTAAATAATTATGATTTAAATTAAAAATGCTTTAATTAGTGAACCATGACGTATTTTATTTTGGATAGTGGCCATCACTGGTAAATAAATACAGGATTAAGATGATAGCTCATATTAATATTAAAGAAGTAAATAAGACTAAATTGTTACTAAAACTAGTTTATCAACTGATTTAATATTAAACTCTTTTTATTAATTATTTAACTCAAATGGAAAAGATCTGCAATTAATTTTATTTTGTGATATTTTTCGTTAATTGTCTCATTTAACATTGTTCCTTTGATTATTATTTATATTGTTGTAATTTAAGGGCGATTGTACTTAATATACATTAATTATTTGAATATATCTTTTAATTTCCCTACAAGTTGTAGAACCTTATAATATTAAAACCAAATCAAAACAATAAATGTAACGGTATTTCCTATTTTATTAACAAATCATTGTAAATATATAAAATATTGATCTTAAAATTAGTTATGAAAAGTGTACATATAATAATTATTGTTCTTTCAAGCTTTTTACTTACATGTTAATAATTTTATGCAGGAAATCCATACCAACTTGTTCTAGCAAATATATTTTAACTGCATAACATTCTTTTAACCAAAAATGTATTGGAATGCCAAACAAATCTTTTATTACAATAATTTCCTTTTAGATTTTAACTTAAAAGTAAGTTTTCTTTTGGGATTTTTTTAGCGCAGTCATTAATGGCTTTATATATTCTTCAGATCCAGTCCAAGACTCTGCTTAATCCAGGCCAAATACATTTACCATGACTATATTTTGTGAACTAATTGAAAATTTCCGGTGGATTGGTTAATCTATTTTTCATGCTCAACCAGTGTTGAAGGTAGTAATCAAAGTTGTAGCCAAATAATCTATTGTGGACCAATTATTGGGCATTGACTGGCTGAAAAACAAAACCTTTAATGAATATTATAACACATAAAAATGCAGTAAGGTTTTTGGTCTGTCGGTGTGCAGATCTCGCCTTAAAAAACATATTTTCCATACATTTTTGCTCTTCCTTCAACTTTTAAATCTGCATGTAACCTTTAAATTTTTGTCGATTTTATTCTCCATTTTTTTTTCAAAAGAAACATGAACTTATGGAAGCCCATATTCGTGAATTATGTGTTTTTAAAAAGTCTTGCCGCAAGCTGTTGGAAAAGCGGTGGGTTTTTAAATTTGTAATGCTAAAAATCTAAATTCATGAATTAAATAATTGGAATTTACCAGCTCATGTTCTTTTAGCAAACCTTCCCTTTTAACAATGGTGGGCATTTCATAAACCCATTAGAATGGAGGTATTTTACGAATTATTTGCTTTTGATTTGTTTGTTGTCGCATTGAAACTATCCTATAGGGTGAGTCTTTTATTTTAGTTTGTTTTTATCTGTTTTGTATAATGGGAAGATGATAAATTTTACACTATGATGGAAAATATACTTTTAGCCTCATCGTTGACCGGTTTTTGTATTTTCTTAACTTATCATTTTATTTACGCGCAGTAGCGAATTGTACAATAACTGATATTTTGTTATTTTTATTTGTGATATATTTAAATGTATATTTTAATTGCTTTTAAAAGTTTTAAAAACATAAATTTAAATAGAAATAAATAAAAGTTTATGATATTTCCTATTTTATTAACAAAACTTTGTAAATTTATAAAACATTGGTCTTAAAAATACTTAAAAAATACTTAAATAAAATCTTTTAAACTCCCAAAAAGGAGTATATAATATAAGCCTCCTTAAATATTATAAAAATCAGTTCACATATTATTAATACGTTTTTTCAAGTTACTCAGTTCCATGTTGATAATTTCAGGCAAATCCATACCAACTTGTTCTTGGAAATATCTTTCAATTGCATACGCTTCCTCCAACCAAAAATCTTTTGGAATGTCGAACAAATCTTTCATTTTGATTTCCTCTTCAAGTCCCTCCAGGTTAAGTGCGTTTTCCTGTGGAATCAATCCAATTGGGCTTTCTGTGGCACAGTCCTCATTGTCCAATCTTCTTAAGATCCAATCCAAAACTCTGGAATTTTCACCAAATCCAGGCCAAAGGAATTTACCATGACTGTCTTTTCTGAACCAATTGACGTGGAAAATTTTCGGTAGATTGGTTGATCTATTTTCCATGCTCAACCAGTGTTGGAGGTAGTGACCGAAGTTGTAGCCGAAAAATGGTCTCATGGCAAAGGGATCGTGCATTATCATTTTTCCTTTATGTTCTGCAGCTGCTGTAGCTTCAGATCTCATCGTACTTCCGATGAAGACTCCGTGCCTCCAATTGCGGGCCTCATAAACTAAGGGTACACCGGCAGGACGGCGACCTCCGAAGAGGATTGCAGATATTGGTACTCCTTCTGGGGTTTCCCATTCAGGATCAATTATTGGGCATTGACTGGCTGGAGTACAGAACCTTAAATAAAAATTATATTTAGAATTTAAAAAAAATGGATGCGATTTTTGTATACACTTCATACAACATAAAAAAATGTACCTTGAATTGGGATGCGCAGCAGGTGTTTTGCTCTCCCCTTTTACCCATTGTTTACCCCTCCAATCTGTAATCTTCACATTTTCATTGATTTCATTCTCCATTCCCTCCCAAAATACACCTCCATCACTGGTTGAAGCTACGTTAGTGAATAATGTGTTCTTAAAAACGGTCTTCATGGCAATAGGGTTGCTGCTATTCGAGGTACCTGGTGCAACTCCAAAGAAACCATTTTCTGGATTAATGGCTCTTAGTTTTCCATCTTTATCGAACCTCATCCACGCAATATCATCACCAACACATTCGATTTTGTAGCCAGGCAAAGTAGGCGTCATCATGGCCAAATTAGTTTTTCCGCAAGCAGATGGAAAAGCGGCGGCTATGTAACGTTTCTTGCCTTTAGGATTTGTAATGCCAAGAATCTAAAATGTATTATTATTAATATTTAGACTAATGTTAACATTAATGGTTTTTTGTTAACTTACCAGCATATGTTCTGCCAGCCAACCTTCCCTTTTAGCAATAGTGGAACCAATCCTCAAAGCAAAACATTTCTTTCCCAACAGAGAGTTACCGCCGTAACCGCTGCCATACGAAACGATTTCGTTGGTCTTAGGCTTGTGCAAAATAATGGTACGTTCCGGGTCGCATGGCCAGCTGGGCATTTCTATGAAGCCATTTGCGGGAGTACCAACAGAATGAAGGCATTTTACAAATTCATCGCTTTCGATTAGTTTGCTGAGAACCGGTTTGCCCATTCTTGTCATGACGCGCATTGAAGCTACCACGTAGGGTGAGTCGGTTATTTCAATCCCTATTTTGGATAATGGGGAGGTGATTGGACCCATAGAGTATGGTACCACGTACATGGTACGACCTCTCATACAACCTGCCATGCGTTCTTTGACTGCAGTTTCCATGTCTCTGGGCGATATCCAATTTCCCAATGTACCTTTAATACCTTCTTTAGTGGTTGGAATTGTCTCAGCCCGTTTTTCAGTGCATATAAACGTCTTTGATTCTACTCTAGCTGTATCCGCTGGGTTGGTTTTGGCTAACCAACAATTTTCGTATTTCGGCAAAGGTATAATGGTACCTTTTTTTTGCATAAGATCCAATAAATGCGTGTTTTCATGGTCTGTACCATCGCAAATATGTACTTGCTCTGGTTGACATAAGTCGATGTTTTGTTCGACGTAGGTACGTACTTTTGGAGAAAGGTCTTTAATGTCCCCATTGACAACGCTTATGCCTCTTATTTGGTTAAAAAGACCCACATTTGGATGTTTTTTTGAAAAACGGCCTATTTCACCAGTGTATCTGTAAATAAGAGCAAAAATAAATATTTTATTATAACAAAATTGAATTTGTTGATTTTATAATTTTGTTTGTCATATTATCATTTTTTGTAGCATAATAAGTATGTACCTAAGCACAAAAAAGTAAGTAGTAACGCCATCAACATATTCAGCTTATATGTAAAGCCTATAAGGTTCAGTTCTTCATCGGGACCTCAGGTTTAAAGTAAAATCCACCACGGTCCTCGATAAGTCACTCCTGGGAACCAATTTAAACATGGTACAGTAAGACTCATCTGCCTTCTTTTAAACAAGTACAACACTAAAGGCTATTAAGCCCGCTACTGACTATGCGTTGATGCGCCGATTTGATGCTATGATGCACAAATCTTTGCATAGTGAGGATAATGCGGTTCGCCGATGCGATGCGGTTTTTTTGGGAGAATCATCAAAGGAAAAATGACGAATCGACGAATTAGTTTATTCGTAGTTTATTTGTTAATTCCTTGTTGATTTGGCAGTGCATCTGTGCGTCTTCCTACCCTACCACAACACAAAACCACAGAGAGAACTTTGTGGTCCCTGGTTCGTACTATAAATAAAATGGAATGAAAAGACGATATTGTTTTCACATTTGTGAAAAAAATACAATTACATCCAAGTAGTGTAGTAGCGGGCTTTATCGGGGATCAAACCCAGTACCGTTAGACAGTTTGTATCGGCTTAGTAGCTTAACTCACTGTGCTATCCGCAGATTCTGTACCTAAGTAGGTACTTTAAATTAAACATGGAATACATTGATTTTTAAATTTCATGGAGATCAGGTTTGATTAATAAAGCCAATTTTACAATTTAATTATTTAAGGATGACAATCGTGGAGGAATGGGTTTAAATATATTAATAAATACAAAATTACCAACCAATCGCTTTTTAAAGTAAATAAATAAATAAATAAATAAATTTATTTAAGCAATTGGCTTGACATATCGATGACTTTCTGCCAAAATATCGCAAGCAACAACTCAAATTTCGGTAATTGAAAACATTTTTTGTTTTAAAGTCTGTTTTAAACCATATATAACCTATAGGTTTTATAACAACTAAATAGCTATAAGTATAAGCAATTTACTTGTTATAAAACCTTTAGGCTATATTTAATTTAAAACAGACTTTAAAACAAAAAATGTTTTTAATTCCCGAAATTTGAGTTATGTTGCTTGCGATACTTTGGCAGAAAGTTATCGATATATTCGGAAAACTTACAACATAAAAAATATTTTTAAAACTTATGTGGGCATAAATTTTACTTCATTTGGCCGTTTTAATACGATTTTATACCTACTAATTAAATATTCTTCATCTTAAATAAAAAAGATAAAAAAAACAAAAGTGGGCCTCCAAAAAGATTGAATTTATTTTGTAAAATTTAATTATAATTAGTACTACAAATTGACTGACTGTGATTTTGTTTTAAATTTAATTAATAATTAATTTAAAAATGTTAGGTATTCATTATGTGGTTTATGATACCTAGGCACATTAAAAATTATTATTATGGATATATTTTATAAGTTAAATATAAATAATGAATTAGTTGCCTTATTCTTAATAATTAAAATATTCTGTCACAGATAAACAAATTACAAATAGCATTTTAAAACGAAGGTATTTGTATTTTTCTTCCTTTTATTTATGATATGTTTTCATTTCTTATTACGTCAGATTCTCAATAAACACGGAATCGCGTTCCTATTTTAATTTTTTATCGGAAGCAATTTATTAAAATAAAAAACCTTAACTTACATGGTGTTCACTTTGTTTATAACATCTGGCATCTTGCAGGTTTGATTTACAAACAATCTCGAAAATAACACCGTATTTTTGTTTAAAAAAAGTACAACTCAAGACCTCTTAAGTGTAACTCTTATGGTACATAGAATAGAACCCGAAAATATATTTGAAATATACTTTATCCGACTTGGACACAAAACAAGTTGGCCTATGGTATTTGGCGACAAGTTTTTTAAATGCGTTAGCCAGAATTAAGAAAATAATTACACCGACAAAGAAAATAAATTACAAATAGAACGCACTGTTACAAACGATGGTTCACTTGCGATTGATTCAATTCCATATAGAGCTACAACGTTTATATATTGGTGAGTCAGGCGGTGGGGGTCAATAAGTACGCTCCAAATGAACAAAAAATCGATCTTTATTTTTGGAATTTGGCAATTGTTATTTTGTAATCTGTTTTTTGTTGTTGACCGATGTTACACTGTGGAAAAGTACTTATTTGTCAAAATTCCAAAAATCAGTATTTTTACTTAAACACACTTATTATAAAAGAGGAGCAATTTTTAGAATTTAAAATTTTTAAACAATAAAACGCGAATATTTTTAAACAAAGTGTCTTTAAATAAATAAGTACAGCAATGAACAAAAGTATCTGGGTACATACATATGTACGTTAGGGTGGGCCGAAAAAATTATTTTTTGAATTCAATTTAGGGGTAGCAAAAAAAATTTACCTTAGGCCAAAAGTAGTTTGTAAAAAAAAAATTAGCGTACTAGCCCAATATTTAAGGCCCCCCCTGGGCGCCCAAAATATTATTTTTTTTATATTTTGTTTGGGGTGGCAACAAAAAGTTACATTATGTTGACAAGAATTGTAGAAAAAAAATTAGCGTACTAGCCCAATATTTAAGGGTGCCCCGGGGGCCCAATATTTTTTTTTTATATATTAATTGGGGTAGCCACAAAAAGTTACCTTAAGTTAACAATATTTTTACAAAAAAATGTCCCATATTAGAGTTTGACGTAAAAAATTTGGCGGTTTAGCAAATTCTAGGGTTAAAAATGTTTATAAATTTGGAAATGTTTTTTTTAAATAAAAGAACTAAAAATATTTATAAGTCGAGCAGACGACTTCTATATAAGGTTCGGCAAGTTTCCCTTTCACTCGCAGGCGGTGAAAAAGTTTGTGAAGCTTGTAACAGAAGCTGCATTAAAAATTTGCTGTGAGGTATAGTCACGGCCAAATCTGTATGGGTGCACGTCATCAAGGGCATATGACGTCAGCGTTAAGGTCTATTCATACGTGCCCAGACACAATCTAACGCTCGTGTATTGTTGACTGTTTATAGCGGTGGGGTCTGTTATTAAGATGGAATTATAACGTCCTTGTTATAATCTTCTGCACTAACTAATTAGGAGTTTGTTACAGGCAAATTTTTATTAAATGTGTTTAAAGAGAAAACCAACGGAGTTTATTACATTTTTATTACATATGCACATAACAAAAATTCTAAATTATCAGAAACACAAAATATATAAATTACCAGTCGTCCTTGTCATCAGGGCAAACCAGGTCAGAATTGAAGTCTGATTATTTCCCCAAATTTATTATTAAGGGCGCAATGTCTTCGAAATCTAATAACGGCTAGTTGCCAACAAGCCTTATATCATTGTTTGCACAATCCAGGGATAGAATCTTATAAACATAATGTATAATATTATTTATAATAATTTGCAACAAACGATGCTTCCGGACGAAATGTCACAATTACAAAAATACGTCAAATATAAAATGACAGCGACCCATCAATAATATTGAACGGTGCGCGCCAGCCTTAAGCTATTACCAACTGGCACACACAAAAATTACTAAGTGAATGGTTTTATTTTGATAATTTCGTGAAAAAACGTTTTAAAACAAGGAAATTGTTACAGTTCTTGGTAAACAATACGCAAATGAATGATTTCTTTTTAATAACACATCAGAATTACGCCTTAAAAAAGCAAATTTAACGGCAGTAACTTTACAATTCAAAGTTGGTAATGCTGACGTCATTATATCTCATTGATGACGTGCACCCATATAGATTTGGCCGTGACTATAGCAAGAAATGGTTATATATAGATGCGCGGACATCTCTACCGGCCTATATGACAACAAGTCTAACTCGAGGAGCAAATATCCAATTAATTAATAATAATAATAATAATAATAATAAAAATGCTTTATTGCGTAAAACACAAAATTAATTACACAAAAGGCTGCTTTCGTAAGGACGTTCTTCCATACCACCTACTAAGAAATTAAATCTATTTTATTCTGCATATTACATATTAATTAAACTAAATCCTATAATTTCATATCACACCAGTTAATACCAAATTTTTGTACTCTAAATTAAATGTGTTTGGATATTTAAATATTATGTTAAAGAATGTTTTATTGTTCAAAAGTTCTATAGATAGGTATATTAGGTCTATAAACGAATCCTTAGATTTTGAAGTTTTGTGACTAGGTATTTGAAAAAGATTGTGTCTTAAATCAAGATTGTGTGTATTAGATCTTTGAATAAAGTTGTTGAATAGATATTCAGGCAATTATTAGGTATTTACTTTCTGCACTAATTTTCCAAAATTTTGCTTGTAAGGATCAATTATTTTTAAATGCTTGTTTTCCAAATAGATTGAAGTAATTGGGTCAAATTTTCCGACTAAATATATGAATCTAATACATGAGTTTATTTTTAAATGTTTCAGTATGATATGAGTAGTAGACTGGCATGCAATAGTCTATAATAGGGTGTATATTAATTTTGAAACAATTTTGCACTTGGTGTTAGAATTTAGAACATACTTAAATTAATATAGTAATTTCAGCTTCATATAACACAAACTAAGTTGTCTTGTAACATGGCGTTTGTATAAAAAATAACACCCAGATTTCTTGCTGTTTCTTGCTGAGGTATTTCTATATTATTTATATGTTCGGTATTAAAATTATATTGTTTTTTATTTATCATATATACTGTACCAATATTTATTACAAGACTCTTTTTGGCATTTAACTGAAGTCTATGATTAACTGACCAAGCATTTACTTCTTTTAAGACTTTATTTATTTCGATAGTGGTTGTGTTAATTAATTTAGAGTAACGCAAAATCTTTTTTAAATTTAATAAAATCAAGCTAAGAGTTGCTAATTTTTTTCATCAAAAGGCGTCTTAATAAAATAATAAAAAAAACTTAGACTGATACCGGCATTTGGTTTGTCTATGCAATAATACATGGGGTAACTTTTTGTTGCCACCTCAATTAAAATATATATAAACAAATTTAGGCCCCCCAGGGCACCCTTAAATATTGGGCTAGAATGGCTATTTTTTTCTAAACATACTGTTAACATGAGGTTACTTTTTGTGGTTACCCCAATTAAAATATGAACAAAAAATATATTTTGGGCCTCCGGGGCACCCTTAAATTTTGGGCTAATACGCTCATCTTTTTTTTAGAATTACTGTTAATATAAGGTAACTTTTGTGGTTACCCCAATTAAAATATGATAAAAATAAATATTTTGGGCCTCCGGGGCACCCTTAAATATTGGGCTAGTACGCTCATTTTTTTTTTCTAGAATTACTGTTAACATAAGGTAACTTTTTGTTCCCACCCCAGTCAAAACATACAAAAAAAATATTTTGGGCCCCCGGGGGACCCTTAAATAATGGGCTAGTACGCTACATTTTTTTCTAATAAATTACTTTTAACATAAGGTAACTTTTTATTGCTACCCAAAAATAAATATCTCAAATATTTTTTTTTTTACGTTTTTCGGCCCACCCTAATGTACGTATTAATTAAATCAGTTCATTGTTTAAAAAATGTTTACTTTTGCATTATATTCTTTTAAATTATTTTCACGTTTAATAATATAAATTAAAAAGGACCTGGACTTTTGTATTAAAAAAATATAGTTAGTTTAAAATAAAATACTTCATATAAGTTTTAATTTTACGAAGCATATCCTGGACGTTTGCTTAGTAGAAAGTACTAAAAATCAATTAATTTTTCTAAATGTTTATTTTGGCTTAATTTTTTTTCTTTATTTATTTGCATGTTTAATAATAATTAATCCTAAAAAATAATAATACTTGCTATTTTTCAAATTTTCTTTAAGTTGTAATGTATTTAAATTCATTGAATGTGGGTAAACGAAATTTTTTTATTTAAAAATTACGAAGATTTATTGTTTAAAAATTGTACCTATATATATATGTATATGATTCATGAGATATTATAATTAAATCTGAAATCTTTTGATTCAAATGTCTACAATAGAGATTTTAAAGCAGAATTATTCCAAAAATAATACTAAAGTATACAGGCTTTTGGCCACCACTACCTATATTTGTTTATTTAAATCTAAAATTTGTGTTATTTGCAATAATCTTACTATCAGTTGCTATTTTATTACATAGACCTAGTAATTTTGATATTTGTTTTGAAAATAACTGCAACATTAATGAAAATTAGACAATTGTCTAATTTTGGAGGAGTGTCATCTTTGTTATACAAAACGTTGTTTTGAAAACAAGGATATATTGTGAAAAGTATCCTTGATATAAAAATACTCCTTTAAACAATTCCTATTTTCAGTAAACATTGTCCACGGATGGGGTTACAAAAAAGAAAACAAATATTTTATATTTCTCTTCTATGGAAATGTTCAAAGCTTTTTCTTTTAAATTTATCGCCAAAAATACATTTTTTATGCGTTTTTTATACTTTTATATATTATTTAATGAATACTCGAGAGATTTCTACCATTCGTTTGTTCGAAAGAAAATGACATATAAACGAAAACAGACCAAAAATATTTAAAAAAAAATTTTGTCCACAATTTGTCGCTTATTCTGGGGGTTTGAAATCAAGCAAAAACTTTTATCTGTTGTACTTTGAAATTGGAAATTATAGTTATTTAATTTTTAAAATTGTCTTTTTATTATCAGTAAGTAATTCGTGACTTGTGTGTCATTTTAAAGCTATTAATTTAATCATTTAAGTACATACATAGGTACTATCTGCCTACCGGAAATTACATGGCCTAAGATTGTTGTTAATGTTGCCTATTCTAAATTAGTTTGTTATATCATTGTTTGGAGCCAATAATTAGATAAAAAAAATGAAAACAATTCAATTAATAAAAATAAATAAAGATAGTATTTGCAATGAAAAACGATTTTATCGATCGTTAATAAAAAAAAATTTTATCGATCGTTAATAAAAAAATAAAAATGTTGTATTTTTTTGCATTAGCTATTAATAATATGCA